TGCCAGGGTGGCCCAGCGCCGATCCAAGAAGTCAGTGCGGAACTCCAAGGGTTCAGTTTATGCAGATGTTTCTTCTTCGGATGTGGTTGTAGTTGACGTACTTCACGAAGGGCTTGACCCGAGTCCTCTTGGCGATCTTCTTCTTGCCCATGGTTTTCGTCACCTTCAGGGGGGCCTTGTCCACGCCCGCGACGAGGCAATGCCCGAACGGCCGCGTCTTGGACCCGTCATCGAACGGCTTCACCACGATGGCCTTCTTGCCGGTGTAGCGGCCCTGGAGGAGCACAACCACGCGGCCAGCCTTGATGAACTTGCCCATGGCCACGAACAGTTCCGCTGGGCAGGGTGGCGGACAGAAATCGGCGGTGAGCCCAGGGGAAACGAGAGGGGGCCGGCCCTGGCAGAAGGCGGCGGAGCTTCTCGGAAGCCTCCGACCTCCTGCGAAGCCCTCTGTTGATGGGCAAATATTCCACCACCACCACTACCATATGTAGGACGTGGGAGAAGGGAGGATGAGGAGGTCCTTCTGCTCCTCCTCTTCCTCCTCCTCCTCCTCCTCCTTTTCTCCTCCTCCTCCTCCTCGTCCTCCTCCTCCTCCTCCTCCTCCTCCTCCTCCTCCTCCTCCTCCTCCCTCTCCTACATACGGTAATAGTGGTGGTGGACCATGGGACCATCATCTGTGGTTCCGGAGGATGCTTGCAGGGCTTCTCGGAAGGCGCGAGGGTCTCTGCGAAGCCCTGCCGCCTTCTGAAAAAGGCCTGCCCCCTCTCACCTCCTCGCTGGGCCCGCCGCCGAAAGAAGAGGGCTCCTGCCGCGCGATTGCCCTGGTGCTGCTGCTGCGCACCTGGATCCGCAAGCCAGCCTGGCTACGGACAGCAAGACAAAGACGACAGGCCGCGGAGGAGGCTGAAACGACCTGCAGGCGCAGATCTATCCACAACCGCGCGGGGGACACACATTACAGCCCCCGGGCCTCGAAGTGTCGCTTATGTACTTTAGTGAAGGATCAGGTATGCTAGAACAGTTTGCAGCATGCATTGCGCCCCGGTGCCTGCCCAGCTCGTGGATACAACCACCGGCAATACTTCCAACGGCCAAATTATAGGCAGCCGTGCAAGAGCCCCCACGCATCAATGGAACGTTCGTCATGTCCTGCAACTCTCTCTTTCAAGTGCCAGGCTTTTTGTGCAGGTCCTAGACGCGCATGTTTGCAGGAGCGCGCTATGTATTGTTGCATCGTGGACTTCTTCAATGGATGGTTCATATGTGCGCGCCCTGCTGCTCCTTGCTCGCACCTCGTGCATATGTACGATTGCCAGCCAACTTGCCGCGGGGTTCGACTGCCAAAGCTCCAGCTCACTACGGCCCTGACAAATTATCGTGATCCGATTGGCTCTGACATTTGTTTTTTCAAATGCGCCCTGGTGCGCGCGCTGTTTGTTCTCTTCTCTGCGAAGGTGAGCTTCTTTTGCGTCGGCGCCATTGGACCGAGCTTCTTGCGCTTCCACGTGGCAGTGACGGCCAGGGCGCGGTTGTCTCGCGGGAGTGTGGCGAAGGCTGCCGGCTGAGTGTCGGCACGGGCCGTCTTTCTCAAAAGGAATTCGACGCCGCCTCCTGCATCGGCGCCAGCCGGCGACCCTTTCTTTTCGCAAGCGCGCTGCGCGGGCCCGGGGCACGCCCGTTGCTGCGGCGGACAGCCCACAGCAAAGAAAACCTCGTGGAGGCACGCAGCCGCCCCGTCCTGGACCGCGCACGCGCCCTCGCCATCTGCTGAGAACCAACCGCTCACTCCCGCCAGCCGCATTTGCCACGGCAGGCAACAACTCAAAAACAAACTTCCACCGCGCCATCAATCACAGAGGCCGCCGCCGCTGCCGCCTCCGCGGGCTCCCAAGCCTGCGGCAGACCGCCGCGCGCGCAGCACTGCGCGCTCCCAACCCCAGGCCCCCTCGAAGCGCACCCGCGCCTCCCCGAGCCCACGCACCCCCCGCGCTTCTGGGCGACCCTGCCGCTCTCACCCGCCCCCGTCCCCGCTCCGCTGGACCCCTGGCCCTCCCACGGACCTCCTGGCCCGCGCCTGGGCTCCCGGGGCACGCCAGGCTTTGGGGAGCGCCTTCGCCCAATGATGCCGACAACTCCTCTACGTCGTCCACGTGCCCTTGCCCCACGCAGCTCACGTGCCCGCCAGCACCCAAGCGAACAGGCCGTTGCGCTCGCAAGTCCCTGCGCTCTCCACCTCCGCTGCGGGGGATCAGGGCGGCGCCGACCTGGCGGCGGCCGAAGAGCCCCGAGGCCCCCCGCGGCAAGGACGCCGGTGCTGTGGCGACGCGGGGCGGTGGAGCCCAGGGGGCGCCAATTTTCTTGCGAGGGCGGCATCTGTGATTGTTGATCCGCCACCATGCCGCGAGGCACTCGGTGGAGTGTCGACGCATGAAAAGAAGAAGGATGTTGGGCACCGAAACAGGCACACCGCCTGAGACATCACCCCAATCTGGGCGCGAACGGTCCCGTGATATACTCCCTGGCGCCCCCCTTGGGAGTGCTGAAGCCAGCGCCTCGCCTGAGATATCCTCGGAACCTGTTCCGACAGAAAAGGATATTCGGCACCGAAACAGGCAAACCGCCTGAGACATCACCCCAATCTGGGCGCGAAGGGTCCTGTGATATACCCCCTGGCGCCCCTTTGGGAGTGCTGAAACCAGCGCCTCGCCTGAGACATCCTCACAACGTGTGCGTGTGTGTGTGTGTGTGTTGTGTGTGTGTGTGTGTGTGTGTGTGTGTGTGTGTGTGTGTGTGTGTGTGTGTGTGTGTGTGTGTGTGTGTGTGTGTGTGTGTGTGTGTGTGTGTGTGTGTGTGTGTGCGTGCGTGCGTGCGTGCGTGCGTGTGTGCGTGTGAGAGAGAGAGTCTGAGCGCGGAAGTGCCAGGAGTGTGAGTGAGTCTGCATATGAGAGATCCCGAGCATGAGAAACCTGACAGGTATCGGAGAGCAAGTGCATCTGAGTATGAATGAGTCTGAATATGAATGAGTCAACATGTAAGTGAATCATAGAATCATGATCTGAGGGTGGGACGTGTGTTCTCTCTCGTTGTCCGCGCGGTCATAATAATAACAAGATCCCCGTCCATAAGCGATGGGGAATAGCAAGAACCCCATCCTTAGGAACTGTGGAATGATGACCTGAGTGTGGGAGGTGTTCTCGCCCCGCGCGGTCTAACAAGAGACCCATCCTCAGAACATGGGGAATTAAAAGCAGCCCAAACATACGCAAAAGGATAAACAATAATCGGACAATCGCCCCCGGACTATTTTGGCATTTTTTTGAATGTTCCTCCTGCAGAGGGACGTGCCCCACGCAATTCAGGGCCCCGCGTGCACCTCGGGGCGTTTGTAGGGGCCCCGTGTGCCTGCTCCAGAGAGCACGCGGCGACGTCCAGGGGCCTCCCCGGGGGGGAGGGCGGGCGGAGGGGAGCGAGGGAGGGAGACGAGGAGGGGGGAGGAGGGCAGATAAAGTGGGCAGAGGGAGGGAGGGAGGAGGGAGGGAGGGCAGAGAAAGTGGAGGAGGGAGGGGGCGAGGAGGGGGGGGGAGGGAGACGAGGAGGGGGGAGGAGGGAGGGAGACGAGGAGGGGGGGGAGGGAGGGCAGAGAAAGTTGTTGTGGAGCGACCCAAAGTCGGGGAGAACGCTTAAAAGACCTCCCCCTCGGAATCGGAGGACCCCTCATCCTCACCCTCCTGGGGGGGCCTAGCCGCTATAGGACAGCGAGGGGGCCACAAAGGGCGACAGCGGGGCCACGAAGG